TATAATAGACATTTAGAAAATACAGAATGACTGTCCCTGCTTCTCCACCCTCCTTAATTCATGTATATCCTTTGTTCTGCTGTAAGTTAAATGAAAGACTCTTGTCCCAAGAGAAATTGAGACTTAGCTAACAAAGTGTTTGGCTGGTTTATCCCCAGTGAGTCCTGTCAGTGAAAGGCAGAGGCTCAACAAACAGCTGGGGGAGAAATGAAGAACACCACAGTTTCCCGGTGGGCATCAACTATCAAGTCAATTCCACGCTGCCTTACTACAGTTTTAGATATTCAGACAAAAGGTTCTAGGAGGTAAGTTCCAAGGAGTAGAAACTGCAGTTGAAACCCGCCCTGCCTTCAGCTGGCTGGCCTGCTTCACACTGTACTGACTGAGGGTGATTTTCACGTGCTCCTGCAGGCCTCCTTCCCTCTGATTTTCTCAGTCACTCACTGTGGTTGCGTCAGCTAAGCTGCTGGCCCTAGTTCCCAAAGAAAGTGGGCAGTATTTAAACAGTTCTGGTCCCCTCTATAGGAGGCTTTAGCTTTTAACCCACCGCCCAGACCCAAAATACTAAAGCTGAATTCTGGTCTCCCAAATGTACTTTATACAAGTAGAAAAGGCCCAGAATTCTGGATCTCAGGGTTGGTTTGATGCTTTGGTTCTTGCTCGCAGTACTGCTCTAGCCATTCTAGCTTGGGCATCAAATCTTACCCTGGACTCCCAGCCCAGTGGCTGTCTCTGCTAGTCTCTTTGTAATAAGATGGTCCCACACTTCTGAAATTAGAATCCTCTCCCAAAGGCCCAGAAGGACCCACCTACATGACAACTGCCTACCTGCCTTCTAAATACCTGTGCCACATGCCCCATAAATGAGGGATCTGCTGCCAGCGATTCAGGGTGGCACCTGGGTCTGTAACCCCTTTGACTTTGTACCTTGTCCAGCTCTTGATTTGACTTTCAAATTGGGTCAGTTCTCTCAGTATCTGATCCACTACCTACGCCAGATGCCTGGTCAGGTTGTGACGCATTCTCAACATCTAGCTCCATAACGCCCTGAGAAGCTACCATGCCTCTCTAGTCTTAAGATACAACCACTAGAACTCTAATTGTTTTTTTCCAAGCTGTTTATTTCCTAAAAATAATACTAGGCCTTTGGTCATTTCAATTATTAGAGTCATCTTTACCCATGATGACAACTTAAAATGTTGGCTAATGCTAAAGCATACATTACTGGTTTTTGGATTTATACTGATTTTTATGATACCTGACAATATCTATCTACAGATCAAATAACTCTCTTCTTTTTATCTGTGGACTAACAGGTAGCAATGAGATCTTATAATGAGATATAAATCTGAATCCCAACTCTCTCACCCCCTAGTGTCCTAAATAAGATGTTTAAGCTAAGCCCCAGGTTTCCCATTCACAACACTGAGATAGAGATAACAGCAAACTAAAGAACTGGATGAGGCACTAAACACAGTTCATGGTACACAGTCAGCACTAAAAAATGGGCAATCAGCAGCAACATTCACAGGTTTACATTTGCTTATTTGTAAAGTATTGGAGTATTAAGAGAAGGAAAACAGCAGGATAAACTTTTTATAGTTAACAAAAAGGATGAAGGACAAGGTTGTTTAAGAGTTATGGGAGATGAAATTGATGGGAGAAAGGAAAGAAAAGGAAAAGGAAAGAGAATGAAAGAGACAGAGTGAAGCTCAAATAAACAGCAAATGGAAGACTTGAAAAAGCAAAGTTCAGTATTCCGTGAGTGCGTGTGAAGCGGGTACAGGACGGGGGTCTCCCTGGAGGGCGGGGCCTGGAGGACAGTCAGGAACCCCCTGCCCTCGCCCGCCCGTGTCTGGAAGAGTTGTCTGCAGAGCTGCAGCACTTAGCCAATGGCGTGGCAGGAGGAGGCAGCTTTATGCCACGTGTTCCTCCCTCGAAGGGGAAATTTTCATAATCCTCTCTTGCCCAATCATTCTCAGCCCAAACCACTCTCCTCCTAAAACAAAACAAATCCTCTCTCCTTCTCCATTCCCATCCTTCAGACCTTAGTTCAACTGTGATCTCCTCGAGGAACCCTTCCCCAACTCCCTCAGAGCTTCATGCTTCCATAACATGTGTTTCTCTTTCTATCCCGCAATCCATACTACAATCGTTCCCATCCTGCCCTTGCGCTCCTTCAGCAAAACCTGCAACCTACCTGAGTCTGTACCTGCAGCATCTGGCTTGGATCCAGGCTGGCGCAGGCCGAGAAGCCCCTGGGCACCTGCACTGCCACAGGCAGCAGCAACAGGACCGTGGCTCCGACCATTTGGGCAACACGGCCCCCAGCTCTGGAAACCTGAGGAAAGCCCCAGACTCTCAGCCTAGAAAAAACACCCACACAGGCACTAACTCAAAACATACAAACACACACACACACAGCACTGAGCTGAAAGTCAAAATATCTGAATTCTAGATTCTGCTCCCTGGTTCTGTTAAAAACTCCAAGTTCTCAAAGAAGTCACTTAATTTCTCAAATGACAAAGTGAAAATAAACTAGCATGTCCCCTTCAACTATCCTTCATTAGATGTCTATAATAAAAACACATAAATATCAAAAATGTGGAATAATTCTGAAATTAAAATTGTTATATATGAGTAAATTATTTTTTTATATTGCCTCACAGCTTGATACTTTTATAGCTATGTCTTTTGCCAAAAAAACATGCTGTGAAATAAATTGACTGTTTACTACAACAGCTAAAGGAACTGCTGGGTTGTTTTTTTTTTGAAAACCCAAAGGCCCTATAGTTTACATACCCAAGAGGAGTGAGCACAACAAGTATAAAGAAGCAAAGATGAATAATCCAATTAATTCACATTTGTTCACACCACTGACTACAGATTCCTTTGATAACAATATGCTTTTGTACTAACAAACCTGTAATACAATTGGCCAGTATGCTTTGAAATATTTAGATTCTGCATGCCAGGGATTCTTGATGACAGTCTGAATATTCTCTTCTCTCTCATTTGACCCTATCACCAACTGTCATAGGTGGGCTAAGGCCAACAGAGCTCCTCTCTTCAGAATGGGACGCTGTGAAATACTCTGATGAGTCCTAAAAGACATACATAATGGGGCTGGCTGTAATATACAAAGCAACTGTCAGGAAGCCACTGTGAAGACCTTAGGGGCTCCAAAGGAACAGCATAAGCTAGGAACCCCGGACCATCCTCGGCATTTCAAATGTTCTGAAAGCTGAAGAGGGCCCGGCACACACCACGGCTGGCCCCCTGCCATCGTCCCTACTCTGCTCCCACCAGCAGCCCAAAAGGTAGGGTCCTCCTTGCCAGTCTAGGTCTTTCTCTGCACCCATGCCAATATTTTACAGATATTAACTGTAAAACAGAAAAACAACAAGCTGTGTCTACGTAGCCTGAATGTTTTGACTGTGGAAATGCTATAAGGAAATCTGCAATTCTTATCCACAAAATTAGACCTTTTGGGGAAAACCACAACTTTGCTTTGTTGAGTCTTAAAGCAGATATAGGTTTTGTCTACAGCTAAAAGCACCAAGGCAGAAGTAAGAATGCCCAAGTTCCAAATCTGTCCTCCTAGAGCTCAACAATAGCAAACACCTTCACCTCCAGCCTACTCCCATCTTCCTAGGCTTCCTGCCCAAAGCAAGGGTGCCTCTGAAAATGCCAGGGAAGAATGTACTGGCTGGTCTTTAATACAAATAGGTGAAGGGCAAGGAAATGAGGCAACCATTTATTTATTCACATGCTTGTTTATTTTAGCCATACCCTACCCAGCCGAGGACAGTAAGGATGCCAGGCAGCTTGGCCTTGTTCTTCTAAACAATCTCTGCAGAGCTCAACAGATGCTCTACTGTATGCACTCTATTCTTATTCTTCACCAGTCAACACCTCATCAGCTCTAGACCGACCCAACTTGCTTACCTCTCTTCTATTTCTTTCAAATATACCCACTATCACTCCTCAAACCAAAGGAAGCCATCTTTCTTGTCTGTCTTTGGCTCATCTTAACTATAATGCTGCCTCTTTACTTTGTCAAATGATCTCTAAGAATATTTTCTTTGGCTTGACTAAGCCCTAATGCACTCCTCTTGTGTTTTTGGACCTGGTCAACACTGTGCTCGGTGATGCTTTCAAGAAAAAAAAAGAAGTGAACTAAATGAATCTATGTGCCTAGGACCTGGAGCCAACGCTTAGCTGTGCTTTCAAGGAATCAAGGGGAGTAGACTATATCCACAATTGGTGGCAATCGTGGTTGGGGGGTGTTCTGGACTAGGATAATTAACTTTCACAAAACACTATGCACTTAACTTCACAGCATTAATCAAAATCATCCTTAAATTTGTATAGTGTGATTAGTATGTGTCTCTTCCCGCCTGCACTCCCCACCAGACTAAGAGCTCCATGAGGGCAAGAACTATGTCGTTTTGATCATGACTAATTTCCCTGCGTCCTACAGTCACTGGCACATAGGTCTAACTCAGTTATTCTAGCCCTGTCAGATGAAAAGAATTAAACTTATGCCTCAACAAAGTCTGCTGTAAGGCAATTCTTCCCATACTCTGGTCCAGTTAACAATGAGAACTAACGTTTCTTGAGCTGCTACCATTGACCTGACACCATTCGCAGATTTCTACAGGTGTTCTCACTTACTCCTCATGACAAGCCAATGAAATAGGTGCTGTGATCATTCCCATTTTATGGATGAGGCATTTGAGGCACAGAGAGGTTATATAATTTGTTAAGCATGTGACAGGGAAGACAGACCACAGGGAAGAGAGCAAGAACAACAAATCAAATCCTTCAATGTCTGTCGACCAGATGCTTCTGGGTCCCAAGCATTATGTGGCCTGTTTCTGAGGTAAACACAGGGTCTTACGGATCCATAACTGCTCAGTTTATGATGCCTCACTGATGCACCATGAAATGCAAAAGGCCCCGAGAAGTTACAGTTAGAAAATGAAAATTTAACTCACCTTCCACTGCTCCTCCGGAAGCAGCTTCACAACCACCACATCCCCATTCAAGGCTCTATTACGAGCAATAATCCCATCAATAAAAATGTCTCGATCACCATCCTAGTTGGGAGAAAGAAATAAAATGATCAGCTTACCAAAGCTTGAAACCAAAGATTACTTCCTTGATTTAAAAACTGTAACTCCACAATCTGTCCACTGATTTAATAGGAACACTAGTATATAGCCACAAGCAGACCTAGAAGGAGTTCAGTCTCTTTGGTACAAATAGAAATGGTGATGAATGTGTAAGAGCAGATTAACGGAATACAGGCAGGCTAAAAACAAATAAAAACACATGAAGCAAAAAACTGGGATTGCATACTTTCATAACTAAAATAAGAAAGGAGCGAGTTATCCTTAGGTTATCCTATTTTTTCCAAATGAAATAAAGCATACTGATATCTTTTCTACACTAGCTGAGTATTTTTTTTTTAATAAGAGTGAGAGTAAAGAAAAATAGGCTTGCAAGAAAACGGAAGAACAACAACACATAATCCCTCAGGACACCGAGAGCGGGAACAGCAACCAACCCTAGAATGTGGGACCTCCAAGGGGAGACCAGCAAAAGCACACACTCCCAGCAGCCCCGCCCAGGAAAGTGGCAGAAGGACCCTGGGGTTGTTTTTATGGAGACCTAAGTAGGAGGCAAAGAAGAAAAGGAAAAGGACATAAAATGAATGAGATTCGTAAAGCACTTGCACATTCCACCTCCCTCACTGACTTAGGAGCAGGGTGAACTCCAGAGTGTGAATGAACGCAGCAAGGCACGAACGCCTTCGCCCTCGGCCAGTCGCATGCTTATCAACAGGCCCCTTAAAGCGGTGTAGCCCCAGTGACTCCCCCAGGTATCGACTGCTAAACTTAAATTAGTGCCAGATAACTTTATAAAAACAAGTCAAATTACTTTATAAAAACACTTATACGGAAAACACAGCTAAAGAAAAACATGCCTTCAACAGTGACAAACTTAAGTATTTTTTCATCAACAATCACGCAAACATGTACTCTCATCCTTTCATCCTTCCAAAAGTTTATACTGTATGTTTCTTTCCAGAGGATGAGAGAAGTAAAATGTGAATTTTTCTTCAAGGAGGTAATAGCAAACCCATTTGGAAACTCAAAATTTTCTAATAGACACTTGATATGGAATGGATTTAACACTCAACAGTTGACTGCGGGGGATTACTCTGACATTTTAGTCGAAGTTAAAATTAGCATTCCAAGTTCACTACCGCCAAGGGATTTTAGACACTCAACAACTTTTATACTTCTAGTTACAAACGATTAGAAATCTTTTAACACAGCCTTTAGGTTCAATTTCTAATCCAGGCATGGGCTGGAGGCTGTGGCCCACATGCTTGGCCAAACCTGACCCGCCCTAAGTCCCTGAGGAACAGCTACCATGTCAGCCACAAAGAATTACTGCAGCTGACCTCAAGACAAGCTTCCCAGAGAAAGAGAAAGAGGCAACCAGCACAGAGAGAGGGAACAACGGAAATGTGGCACAACATCATCCATCAGCGCCTTCTGCAATTTACAGCAGCAGGACGTCTCCGGCTTCCTAGGAGTGAAAAAAGAGCTGCCTGCATGTAGGTCATACTGCCCATCATCATGTGCCAAAACATACGCAGTGAGATGGCGCTTTTATAAACAGCTATACCACCCTTAGACAGCGCAGAGATTTAAGCCGACAAAAGATGCCGATATTGCCATGTTTCTATCCCGGGAAACCAAGAGAAGCAGGGCTAAGTAGAACCTCAGACAACACACAAATATGTAAATACTACATCACTACTCAGCTCTTATTTCATTCATTCAGAAGCCTGTATCTACTGTAGAATCTCTTAGTTTAATGATACAAAACTTGGGAACACTTTGATGTTCAAAGTTTGTCATCTCTTCTCTTAACAACTTTTTAAGGCCAAAAGTTTTGGCCTTTTATTTGAATGCCGGAAGACTTGCTTTACCCATCAGAAAGAACAGGAAAAAAGAAAGTGTGGGGCGGGGGGCGGGGGTGGAGGAAGGAAGGAAACTGGATAATGAAGAACTCCAGGGGAAAGGAGCAGGGGCCTGGGGATCATCTCGCTAAGTATACCGGAGGCTGGCGAGGGGAGGACAGCCCAAGTGTGCCGGGATGGTGAGAGCATCCGCCATCAATGCCATAGCAACTTCTGGACCAGAAGTCCATTCTACAAACACACAAAGAGTACCTCCCATGACAAGATGTCGAGGTAATTCAGAACGGAAATGTACTTTCTGAAAAAAGCCAAGTTTTTACATTGCGTCCACTTCTCCTTTTTCTCTTATACCCAAATAGGATAAAACATCATCTTAATAATATCAAATCATCTTGGTTTGCTTAAAGTCACATAGTCTTATTCTAACTATGTCTTACTTTTTTCAGAACCCCAGGAGACTGGTAGTTGCACATAAAAGTGACTTATTCCATGTATCTTGGGTTTGTCATGAGAAAATGAAAACCAACTTTCTATCAGTAGAAATGATAATGAATCTAAGTCAAATTCCCCCAAAACAAATCTTTTTTATACATGATGATCAATTCACTGTTCCCAGTCTCATGACTTAAGCAGATATTTGAACATAGCAAATGACATGGTGTAAGTTCACAATATTCTTTTAGAGTCAGTAAGAATAAATCTATATAATTTCATCAAATCTAGTCTTTTTTTGCCTCTTCAAAAACTTTAGAGTTTTGAGGTTGTGAGGAACATTAGACAATATCTAACCCACCCCCCTCATTTTACAAATAAGGAAACTTCTATTTCTTACCATCAGAGCAGAGGCTACATCTTCTTTGGTGTCGACTCCCGTCTTCAGCCTCTTTGCTAAAGCAGGGCACAGGGCCATTCATGCCCTGGTGCTGACACCCCACCTCCTAGTCTACCTGTGAGCATCTTCCAGTTCGTGTAAGTCCACACTTGACAGGGACATGAGCTATGCAGACGCGGAAATCCAAACCAGGGGTGGGATTCACCTACACGTCATTTATTGCCTCTACTACCTCCCTCTTCTAAAACCTGAAACTGACCCCAAAACCCACGATACTAGAATGCAGGATTGTTCCAGTATCCAAAATCATAGTATCTACAATCATTTGCAAATGGGCCTTGATAGAGCTTTTACAATCTATTCTTAATTACTTACAGGTGAATCGTTTAGCATTTTTTCTCCCCCTGTGACAATATTACTTCTCCATGATTGGCCAGACAGGAGAACAAAAGGCGCACAGAAATAAGCCAATCCTAACACCACAACTGTCTTCAAAGGTCGAAATAGGACATGCTAGGAGTACAATTTCAAATAGAACAATTTGAGCTTTTGAAACATCAATATATTTTGCTTCTTAACTTCCTTTAACAAGCCAGATTAAACAGTGGCAACACATCACTTGGAAACTTAATTCACATAAATTTAAGCTACCAAAACCTAAGCTAACTAGGCCTCACACTTTAGGGTACCTCTGCCCTCCCCTCCCCTCAGCCACACTCCTCCCCACGGCTCTCAGGGCCACGCTGACACGCACCCCCACTGGTACCGAGCGCCACGCCCACTTCCAGGGTACACACGGGCATCTTCCCCAGGTCTGTCTCCCCGAAGGCTGACCACATCCCAGGTGGCAGCCCTGGATTTGACGGGTGGCTGAAGGGTGGGTATTTCTACGGGCTATGGACAGAGGTTGGACACGTGGGATAAGATGCCCACACAGGTGCATGCAAGGACACTTGCTGAGCAGGGGAGCCGAGCAGACGGGATGGGGAGCCAGGGCCGGGGAGTTGGGAGGCGGGCCAGAGGCGGGCCCTCCCCGAGCAGCCACATTTCGACGTGGAGCTCCAAGGATTCCGAGAGCTCCGCATTTGAACCCAGGTTCATGGAAGGTGTATTTGGCAAGGAATATACTTTATTTGTCATGAATATAGCTTAGTTAACACCTTATTAGTTTGATTTATGACTTTTAAATATTTAATAGAAGGTATGTGTGCCTCCTATTGTACTTTTGTCCTATGCCCCATATGTGTCAGGAGCCATCCTAACGGGGACGTAACGGGAAATTCAATATTGTGTGCGCAGGGGAAAGACAGCGAGCAGAAGTTGTTTCAGGGTGCTCTGTGCAGTCCCGCTCATTCCAATCAGTGACGGCAATCTCAGAGTGCACGGGCGACGAGCGATGTGAAGCCTGCTCAGTTCCTCTCAGAACGAACCCCTCACCACACTGGCTGCGATTCCCATGCTTAAAACACCGTGTTTTTCACACACCGAGGCTGCTAACACAACCAAGCCCCTTTGGGACACCAAAAAAGAAACACTTTCGAACGTGGAGAAAACACTGGTTATGCTGGACTTCCTGAGAGATGGGCTACCTGTCTCCAACCTGACACCTCCCTCAGAGATTGCCGTGGGCGCTTTTCCTGACTAGTGAATGTGATTTTCTCCTTGTGCACAAACTCGGGAGTCTAACCCCTATGTAAATGTGCTTCCACTGTATGATGAAACTGCTCCTGCAGCTAGGTTACCGCCTAAAGCCGGCCTTCCGTTCTCTAGTGCGCATGCCAAGGTCAGCATGTGTAGCATGTTCTGTCATAGGAACAGGACATGACTCAGAAAGAACAGAGTGACATGTCAATAACACTTTTTTTTCAATTATGTGTGATACTATAATCGTTCAAGTGTACAACATAGCGATTAGACGTCTCTGTAACTTACAAAGCTGTGTGTGACACCCCCCCGACACCATAGGTAGCACAGCGTCATTGGCTGCCGCCCCGCTGCTGGGCTTCCTACCCCCGTGACTGTGCTGTAGCTCGCAGCTTGCACTTGCCCCCTTTGCCTTCCTCACCGAGCTGCCCAACCCCCTCCCCCCCCTGCCCCGGCAACCAGTACTTTGTTCTCTATGAGTTTATTTCTATTTTGTTTGGCTCTTTTTTCATTTTTTAAGACTCCACATGTAAATGAAATCATACAGTTTTGTCTTTCTCTGTGTGATCTGTTTCAGCGAGCATCATACCCTCTAGGTGCATCCATGTTTTCCCAATAGCAAGATCTCATTCCTTTTTACGACTGAGTAATATAAATGGATATAGATGTATTGCATCTTCCTTATCCATTCATTACTGATGGACACCTAGGTTGCTTCCATATCTTGACTATTGTAAATAATGCTGCAGTGTGCATAGAGGTGTATATATCTTTTCAAATTAGTGTTTTAGAATGCTTCAGAGAAATACCCAGAAGTGGAATTGCTGGGTCACATGGTAGTTCTATTTTTAATTTTTTGAGGAAACTCCATACTGTTTTCTATACTGGCTGAACCAATTTACAATCCCACCAACAGTGCATGAGGGCTCTCTTTACTCCACATCCTCTTTTTTGTGTCAGTAACACTTTTTACCTAATACAATGGTTAAGACCCGAACTTGACATATAAATGTGAATCCTTAGATTCTGGAGGGGAAGGAAAAAAAATAACAAACTGAACTTGAAAATAGGTCTTAAGGTTACTAGAATGACAACAATAATGCCTATGAAGTACATGACTAAACTTGTATTCTCACCAAACCTGTCATGTAACATAATGAAATATATTAACTGAAATATGTGTATTCCATTTCCTCATCTATAAGCAAAAGTTTATTCCTATGGTCTTTTCCACCCTGAAAAATCTGTAATTCTACTGGCATCCTATTTACGGTGTCCTGGAAAAGTTAGGTCAGGAATTTAAGACCATTGCTCTCTCAGCTTTGCACAATCGAGCCTTATGCAGAGAACTGCTGCTGACTATATGTCAGAGTTAACTTCCCCTGATGGGAGAAAGCCTGTTAAATGAGTCATGAACATAAGGAAGGGTATAAAGACCCAGCGGCTAAGAGCCTTGCACCAAGTCCTATCACCTGCATAAAAGTGATGTGAGAAACTCTGACCAAAACAAAAAAAAAAGGCATTACACATTATTTTTGGACAAATTTGCAGATTAGCTCATGCAGTAGATCGAAAGTAGATAGCATATTTGTTTAGGAAAGATTAACGTAAATCAGTGGAAAACCCATAAATCCTTTTAAGCTATAAACTAAGGGCATCCAATTACACAAGCCGGTGGGTGTCTGCGTGGGTTCAGCTGCTCGGCAGCCTAGTAACAAATGCCACCGCTTCCATCTGAAGTGTGACTGTAAGACTGGCAGAAAGGATCGTTAACCGCAGGCAAACTCTGTTTATTTAAGTTTGAAACGAACCCTTGCCCATCCTCGATTTTGTTGTACTACTCCTCTTTTTAGTCGGAATATATTATTTCAGTTTCAGAACACATCTAAAAAATTGAGTGTGACATTAAGTTTATTATAAAATTATTGAACTTACCGGGGAAGGAATGAAGGCTTCATGAAACTTCTTTGGATTAATTCTCAGTACGCCCTTTAAAATAAAAAATAAAATCTATGAAAATTTAACTAGTTATACATGTATGATTTTTCCATACTTATGTTTTTCTCCAATAAAAAGTTTTCAAATTAATTAAATGGCTTGATCTAGAAGCACGCTGGATTATGAGAACTATTCATGAGATGCATGAAACATGACATATCGGTATCTGCAACAGAGAGCTCCACCAGAAACAGAAAGCTCACGCGGCGCCTTGCTGTGAGCAGGCTGGGGTGAGACACAGCTGGGCTCGGAGAGCAGTGGGGGAGTGGCGGCTACTGGGGTTTTATGTGCTCCTGTGCGCCAGGCTTCGAACTTAAACTTTCACTGTAAGAACAAGGTGGTCAGGGGTTTACGCCTAACTACGTAATGGTCTTTTCAGTTCTCTGGACCTTTCCACAATTGCTTGTTTCTGTGACAATTTTCAAAGTGAAACAGGTTGCTTTCCAACCTGGATACCTACCCTGGAGGGATTAGATGTATATTTTTCACTCTGGCCCCTCTGCAGAGCTGAATGAGTCCATAATTCAAAATGGTCTAGAACCAGCTCTTAATGTAAATGGGAATCCTGGCTCCAACAGCCAGGCCACCCAGTCTGCCTTCAACTTCATGTTATTCCAGCACCAAATCAGGGCCTGCTTCTATTTATGCACAGGGGTGCAGGTGGGGGCCGTCTTCAATAACGGTTCAGTATTTCAGGCTCTTGCAGGAAGCTGTAACCCTCCCCACGTCCCCGCTGCATCTGACGGCCACTGGAACACACGGATGGAGGCAGTTATTTTCCTAAGGGCCAGACTCAAAGGCTGTCTTGAGAAAGTGTTTTAAGCAACACTTCCCCTTAAGATGTTGAAAAATTCAAAGATACATAATTAACAAAACAGGTGAGGGCATAAAATAAAGCAGAAAATAATTCTTCCTTTCACTGGCACACCAAGTTTAAATTACAAATTTCCATGCAACGGTTTCTACTACCATTAACATCCCAATGAGACTATTACAAATGCTCATTCAGTCCTAATGCAAGAATTATTTCTTGAATTCTGACTCTATTCAAGACCCTGAGACAGACAGTGTGGGGGAGAGAGATGGTCAAGCTCTGTCCTTGGTGAAAGGTGAATGCTGGGAGGGCACAGCTTACTTTCAGCCGGGGGCACTAGCACAGGCCCCAGAAATAGTGTCTGACCCGGCCCTGGAAGGAGGCAAAAACCTTGCAGATAAGTCAGAAAGGAAATCCAGGCAGAGCAACACAAGCCAGAGTGAGTAAGAGGGCAAACGTTCTGCTCCCCTCAGGTTGGGACTCTGCGGGGAAGAGACAGAGTGGCCAGAAGGAAAGGCTGGCAAGGCTTGCTGAGGCCAGACCCGCAGCCTCGCTTCTAGGACAGCGGTTTCCTGCTGCAAGGAGGAAAAAACATATCTCCTCCACCTTTATCTATTCACTCCACAAACACTCCCAATGATGAGCGTGACGGGCGCCGGCCTAAGTCCTGAGGACACAGTGGAGGGCGACAGAGCCTCTGCCCTCCTTGAGCGCACTGTCTCACGAGGAGAAAGCCACTCCAAACACATAAAAGTAAATTCATTGAAGTTAACCTTTTAAATTTATTTTCTGATTCCAGGCAGTTTTTTTCTAACCGAAGTTTCTACTATTTTCAGTTGCTCTTCTTCTATCATCCCTTCTAGCTCCGTGAACAGTTAGTACATGAAGGCTAGAGACGAGAAGGCCTTCCGCTGGGAAAGCGCCTTTAGTTATGGAGCACTCGGAGAGGCCGAGGCTGGGCTCCGGGGAAAGGGACAGGTCTCTCAGGCCTGTAACGAGGCTCTAATGAAAAAAACAGATATTAAAAGGACCTTAAAGATCCAATTCTTGATTTTCTATTCTGAACTACCTAATGTATAAAAGCATAGGGCAGGGTAGAAGGCTTGTTCTAGGGAAACATTTGCAATTAGACTGGAGCATATTCCTAGGAACTGGCCCTCGGGACCCCTTCGAGAGCACACACCACATGGAGGAGGAAGACTCTAGCAGGGTCCTTAGCAGACCAGAGTCACCTCCGCAGCCTGACAGAAGGGGCTGACAGTAAAGCATGCCAGGAAATGGTCTTTTACCTAAGAGACTCCAGCAGATGTTCTGTCTTCCCTAAAAAGTCCAGGACTTCCACCGTCATACTTTTATGACCGTCGCCTAACCTGCTCCAACCCCTTCCTCCTCACCCTTTCCTCGGCCTGGCACTGGGCCCGTAAGGTCCAACAGGCCCCACCTCACCGCCGAACGCTCGGCGCCTCCTTCGCCTCACTGAAGCCTGGGCCTCGCCTGACACGCTCACTTTCCTTAAAGGGCTCTCAGGAAACCCTCTTCTCTCTCCTATTCCACGCATCTCAGGGGCCAGAGGCAGAATGAACCCCTTGCTTCCTCACTGTGGCTTTAACAGCGTTTTCCCTCCGTCCCCGTTCCACCCACCCAGCTCCCTTAGGGTTCATGTCGTTAGCCCCCTATACGCCCTAGGGCCGTCATCCTCAAGCCGGTCGTACCCCGACCCACTAAAGCTTTTACTTGTAGCCCACTGTCCTCTCCCCGCCGCAGTCCTATGAACGCTTAACGGGACCTCACACCCCTGTGGATGGCCGGGCCACCCTAGCCAGGCAGCCCCGCCACTCTCTCCCAAGCTCACAGCCTGTGTCTCGTCATTGCTGCTAACTACACCACCTCCGAAGATACACACACACAAAATAACACTTTCTGATTAAAACCTTCTGGCCTTCCAGCTCACTTAGGGTAGAAACACCGCTTCAACAATTCTCTGTCTTCGCTAAGACCTGCGGCCCGCGGACCTCACCGCACTCTGACCGCTCGTCATTCTCCCACTACGTTCATTCCTCTCCTTGGCTCCCTAGTTGCCGGGGCCCATCATTACCTCCTGTCCTTGCAAACCCGCAGCCTTGCGTCCTCTCTTCCTCTTATATCTAACTAATAAAACCTCACTCTCAGGTGACCCCAACTATCTGCCTTCTCTATGCCTCAACCCAAGAAGCTGAATGTCACTGTAGGAAAATACCACACAACTGGGCTAATCAGCCTCACTTGGCAATCACAGACATGTTTTACTTGGCTTACAGAATGTTTGAGAATACTCAAAACTGAAGAATTTCACACATAAATATGTATTTCCAGATTTTCTTGAAACATCAGCTAACTCCACATGGCAGCCACCACCTGAGTTGAATAACAGATGCTTCTCTCATAGCAATAAAAATAATTGCAAATAACACTTCTACCAATTTTACCATGTGTCACACACAGCTTTAAGGGCTTTATATCTATTCAACTAATTTAACATCCAAACCCTAGCGACACTATGAGGTGGGCACCGCTATTCTCTTGTTTACAAATGAGAAAAGCGAGGCCCTGAGAGGTGCCCACATCCCCACCACAGTCAAGCCCAAGCAGCCTGGCTCCAGAGACCTTGCTCTAGCCACTGCCGCCCTGTGTGCCGTCGCCCGGGGCCTCTCCGCTCATGTATGCCATCTGCCCCCTCCCCCAGGAAACCCGCACTCCATCCCAATGCTTAGCCTTCCCGATCCTGGCGAATGACAACCTCGTCCACCCAGCTGCCCGACTCGAACACTCGGGAGCCACCCTGCAGGCCTGCCTCTGCCTCCCCTTCCACGTTGGAGCCACCGTCTGTCATGCCAGTTCTAGCTCCACATCCGTCCACTTCTCTCCACCTTCCCTGCCGCCCTCCTTGTTCGCATCTCCACAGTTTCTCGCCTGTCAACCCTGCCAATCTCTCCCATGCTCACAGCCTGTGTCTTGTCATCATTGCTAATTACACCACCTCCAAACATACACACACACACACACACACACACACACACACACACACACACAAATCAGGTATTCTCATGGCCTTCTACATGGTCTCCCAGCTCCACACTAATCTACTTGTCTTACAATCGCCAGTGAGATGTACTTAAAGCATAAAATAGATCATGCCTTTCCCCTGCTTAACATCTTCTAGTGACTCCCCACCATTCTTTAAATAAAAGCCAACTCTCCAACGCAGCCCAGAGACCCTACAGGACCTGGCAGCTCCTAACTCTGCAACTTATTCCCACGTGGTCATCCCCTTTGCTCGCCATGTCCAGCAGGCCTCCTCCCTCGCCCTCAGGAACACCAAGCCTTTTCCTGCTCGCTCTTCTACCACTAGCTGATCTCTCTGCCTATAACGTTCTTTTCCTTATTCTTTAAGTGGCTCATTCTCACCCTCCAGATCTCATTTCGGAGGTCACCTCCTCAGAGGTAATCACAGAACTGGTCACAGGCTGTAATTGCTTTATTTTTTTTTAGTCCTTTTTGTCTATCTCCCCAGTGAAAAGCCTCTCTTGGCTGCACTTAGTAAGCAGTCAAGAAAGATTTGTTGAGCAAATTAATTAATGTCTGCAGAGCTGAAGGTCCCCCACCAGCCCCTAGGGTTAATGTTATGAATGCCATCTCTTTCTTCTAAATGACCTGGCAGTCCACTGTAATGTCACCTCTATTCTTCTCTTTAATTCACACCCAGATGTTCTCCAGTTGATTTTACTCTTAACAAATGGTGACAGTTTAAGAACTAGGCCCTCCCCTCCTGTCTTCCTGAACTAGGATTTCTTTTGAGGTCCAGTAACAGCTTTACACCAATATCCTACTGTAGGAGGGACTGTGACATCATGTCTCAGGCAGTTCTAGAGGCTCCGCCAGAACCACCTGTAGACAAAGTGACATCTGGGCTTGTGAAACCAATCAATTCTACTATCTTCCTACCCATGTCGCTTTGGCCATGACCCCAAACATGAGCCCCTTCCAAGACTGCCGATCCCATACTCTCAGTTTCTCCCAGCATCTCACCTCCTGTATCAACCTCCCAACAGTCCACCTATATGAAGAGAAAAGACATATGTTTTTGATGTGAGAACTTATTCACTAAAAAAATTTTCAAAACGTCATGTGCATGATCATGGGTTGTTGCTGGTCAGTTCAAACGCAGAAAAGAGATTTCATGGTCACTGCAGACTCCTCTTCCCCACACAGGACAAACACCAATGAAATGTCAAATTATTGATCAAAATATTGAAAAGCAACAAAAATATAATTCTACTCCTCTATTAAAATATCTCAAATCTCTCATTAAAAGTTGCTTCTCTGGATGGGGAGAAGAAAAGGGACATAACAACATACTTATATTTGCATACAAAGTTAACAAATGCTTATAAGTTTCAACATTCAAAAATCTTGTATTGTCTAGTTCTTTAGCTTACCCTTCAAGGCCTGCACACACAGTTTATATCAGAAAGCAGATGGACTCTGTTTCTTTGCCTATGAAAATCTTATTTACAATGTTGTATATTTCACACAGTGACCTCATATCTGGAACCCATTCCTTTCCCCATCTGCAAAGAACAACTGTTCTCATCTGTGGGGGGAGGCTCTGGCTGGAGTCTCATGATGTCACAGGCCAGGAGGAACCACTTAGAAACTCCAGGAAATGAGAGTTGTTACATTGATCAGTTTTTTTGTTGTTTTATTTTACTATCAGCAAAGAGTTGCTTCAAAAGCAAAAATTAATAGGAAGGGGAAAAACTAATACAACCGCAGAATAGTTCCCTCATGTTACCTCTGTAAATTCTATAACCAAAACGATAAGCAATTTTTCTTTCAAGTTACAACAATCGAAATTCCCCTCATTTTTCTTCAAAGACAGTAAGTACCTTGTTCCTTTATTCAATCAGAAAATAACTATTCAATATAAACTTATTAAGCATCAATCAAATGCCAGGTATGTGGGAATAAAACATGACCCTGCCCAAAAGGAAGTGTACAATCTGTTTGAGGAAACATAAATGCCAGGAAATGATAACAGGTTTAAAATAAATGGTCGCCCTGACTGGTGTGGCTCAGTGGTTCGGGCATCATACTGCAGAGCAAAAGGTCACTGGTTTGATTTCTGCTCAGGGCACATGCCTGGGTTGCAGGCCAGGTCCCCAGCTGGGGGCATGTGAGAGGCAACCGATCAATGTTTCTCTTGCACACTGATATTTCTCTCCCTCTGTTTCTGCCTCCCATCCCCTCTCTAAAAATAAATGAAATATTTTAAAAGAAAAGAATTTTAAAAAGGGTAAACCAAGAAGTCAGCTTCAGGAAGTAGTGATGGCCAATTCTGCAGAGAATGAAAATAAGACTTCTCAAAGGAGGTGACATTTAGCTAGGGACTTAAAGGTTGAGCACAATGACATCAAGAAAGTGGGAGAAGGCACGCCAAGCACCAGGAGCAGCATGCAAAGAGTCGCAGAGGAATCAAAGGGCAGTCTTTACAGAAAAAGCGTGAAGGTCAGGGTGATGGAGCAGGGGGTACCCAGAAGAAAGTGTGGGAGATGAGAACGGGAAAGGCACCCAGGTCCTCACACATGGGACAGATCGGGGCCAAGAAGCTGTAGGTAAGACGGAGTTCAGTGTGTGGGCTGAGTGACGACAGCATGTGACCGGACTAACAAATGAACACATGTCCAACTCTCCTGAGAGAGGCCTTGTCAAAGAAATCCAAGGAAAGCTTTAAAAAAAAAAGCCAACAGGACTTCTAAAGTTGGAAAGATCAACTCATTTTGTTAAAAAACATTTTTCCATTCAAGAGTTAATATTAATTACACATGCACTTGACCACAGGAAAACACAAAAAGGTGTTAAAACAGGAAGAGAAAATGATAGTATCTATTAATTGGCTGGCTCTTCAGCCAAAAACACAAACATAGAAGCTGAGCTCTCAGAATGAGAAACAACAGAACACAGTCAACATCTTCAAGAGAGCCAGGTAACACATGGCAATACTTCATAATCCAAGAATTATGAAATGAACGTAATTCAAAGGACACGTGGCCCTGCCTCCTCCACCTCACCACCTACCACCCGCCTCCCGCCGCAGGTCCAGGAGCCTGGGCGCCTCACTCCACCCCGGGCCGCCGGGCCACACCGCCGTCCACGCCGCTCCTCTCCACACCTTCTTCCCACACACACACCACTCACGGAAGAGACCACACCAGTTACCCTCCAACATCCACAGCGGACGTCACCTCCCAGTTTCCCAATTTCCTCCAGCCACTCTCCCATGGCCCCTGGTCATGCTCTTCTCTCAGCACTAACCGCCAGTCACTGTCCCCATGGCCACCTGCCTCCCCCGGGCGGCCGGTGCACAGCGCACAGAGGCCGCCTCCCGCACCTCATCCCGAGGGCGCCCATGTGCAGGCTCCTGACTACAAACTGTGCCGGGCTGACAGCGGATGCTCAATAAACATTTGCTGAGCCAAACCACTGTACTAGCTTGGAAAAGTATTTTGTAAACTATAAAGCACTCAACAAATATTGCCTGCTGCTGTTCACTGTTTCCTTTTCAACCTTATTCTCCATCATTCAGCTTTCATGTGCTCAAGGCAAACTGAACTACCAACGCTTCTTCTAGCCAAACTGGTCCTTCCATTTATAAAGCACTTTCTCCTATTTTTACTTATTCAAATTGCACCAATCCATGGCCTGGATCAAAAACATCCCTTCCAATAAAACATTCCTGGACAACGCTCACTGGAAGCAATAGCTCCCGCCTCTCCAATCCCAGAGCACAGTGCTCCCTCTGTCTTGTGGCGCTTACTACCTGTAGCTGCCCTGTAGGCCTAAGAAGCGGGGAGCCCTGTGCCTGTTCTATCATCATTTCTTTCAAAGCACACAGCACAGAAAAATAAACACTTTACTGAAAAAACAGATGTCTTCTGATTCCCCATATCCAAGGAATAGCCAGCCTTCTAGTAGCATTTAAGCACCTGGATAAGCGTTCCTCTCTTCAAGCCTTCCAAAACATCCTCCTTGGACATGTAGTTTTCAAATATGCTCTTTTTCTTCCCTCGTGTGGACTTGTTCTTTGACTTTTTGTCACCTGGCGAAGCACCAGCACCACGTGGGCTGACCACAGAGGACACACCTAGAAACAGGAGGCAGCAATCAACTCTTCTCAATCAAACATCTCTGTATTTTTAAAACCGCAGGTATTTTACCCTTTTTTTTTAATTTAGAAAAAACTAAAAAGAAAATGAAGCTCCCTGAAAAAGATTTCAGATAGTCATAAAAAAAGAAAGAATAAGTAAGAAAACATGAATCAAACGTATACAGAGATGAGCTTTAAATCAGCAGCACAATATCCATGGAACATAACCTGAACAATGGGCTCAGTGTGCTTTCTGCTCACAAACAGACTGTTTACAAAGAGAAATTACTAAAAGATTGCCATTTTTCAAGAGGAAATTAAAAAACTGTGCTCAATATGAAAAAATTAAAGACAACAAGAAACCACACTTAATTCTAGAATAAATGACAGGAGAATATTTAACAAGTCACCAGAAGAACTACAGCCCCTCGGCCGCAGGCCCGCCCACGCCGCTACCCCAATGCACCGCAGGTCCCTGGCCGCTGGAGTAGACGCCGTGGCCCTTCGCTACCTCTGAGCGTCCCCGGGTTCGGCCTGCTTTCAGGATGGCTCATTGCTGCTTCCAAGGCCGCCTCTTCTCTCCAGATCCAGGTGGGCCTCCACTGCTCAGGCTCAGAGTTCCCGGGCTTGAGCAGCTTGGTTGTGACAAGCTGAAACCAAAGAGAAGCGGGTGACTAAAGAGCAATTAACCTGTAGCCTCCTCTGCGCTCTCAGGGAATTAGTACTTGGATGGCAAAGGCAATGTGGTGCCCTCCTAGGCTCCTGGTGTCAGCTTCTCCTGGGCAGTTAGTCAAGCACGCCATCTGTCCTGAGTTTCTTTTCAAGGTCGTCACCTTCACAGGTGTCACTAGCTTATTTGTTTAGTCCAATTCAACTAAAAACTTCCACAAATGGGCAATAAGGTGGAAATTAAGGCATTCTGCCGTTCTATTCAGCTTGTGAAATGCACAAGAGCAGGAGGGAATATGGTTTTGCAAAATGATATAAAGACCTAGAATCTAAACACTATCATGAAATAGGTACTAAACTAGGACTCAAGAGACATGGCTCTGCCTAAATTTAACCTTGAACCAAATGACATCCCTTTACAAAACTGAGTCATCAATCCCTTGGAATTCATCAGCAAAACCCAATTCACTGCCACAACCACTATTAATCCCAAAACTATTCATGGAACCTCCGATGGCTCACTAGCTTTCAAAAATAGAAACACTGTAGATAAGCATCTGTTTCCCTACTCTTACCTGCCATCACTTCCAACCAGCCACCTGCCCAGAAGCTCAGGCAGCCGCTCCTACGGAATACAAGGCAGCGGCCCGGGTCAGCGGGCTGCGGTACGGCCCGCGGCTGGCCCCTGACCTTCCACCTGGGTGCTGAGCGTGTCATCATGGCTGCGACTTGCTACTCTGCGCAGGCCACTAGCCCAGGATTTAAGCCTATACCTGCGAACTTTCAAAACCCTGGTAAGCAGCCTTTATGATTCCCCATAGAATGGGTCCAGATGTCATTCTGAACGCTAGCTTCCATTTCCTCTAAATTTCCCACAAACATCCTTTACCAAAAGGATGTAATTTTTCTTTAAAATGAAATTAATGTAACTCAGAAGAGACAGAGACGAAAGGTAATGGGCCATTTAGTGATACATGAAGTGATTCAGAGAGAAAGTCAAAAAGTGCAAGAAAGGAGAGATCAGATGGTCTCACATCACGGATTTTCAACCTTTCTCATCTCACGGCACATAAAAAATAATCATTAAAATTCTGTGACACACCAAAAAATATATTTTTTGTCAATCTGAGAAAAAAAGAATAGATACAATTTTGATTCATTCACACCAGACAGCTACTGTTGTATTAGCTGTTGTCATTTTCTTTTTTTTTTTTTTTTTTGACAATCAAAGAGAAAACAGGGCAGTGCCCCTGACTAAACAATCAGGTATTTCATGTTTTAAACATTCTTGTGTCATACTGTGCCATACGATAAACAACAAGGAAGTGGAAAAGGCACACAGAGGATCCAGACAGTCTGGTGGTCTAGTTCAGAAATGCATTCATCCACTCATTCATTCAACAAATGCTTCTGCAAGGTACTGTACTAGGCACAATGAGCGAGACAAGAGTTGATTTCTAAAAATCATATCGAACTAACAATGAATACACATTGGGAAGTGAGAGCAGTAATTTTTTAAGCAGGGGTAAACGTGCATATGATGGGAGAGAAAGGGTATCTCCAGCTCAAGAAATCCAAGAAAGCTTCAGGAAAAATGTTAAGAACTGAGAATGTGAGAAAACCATACCGCTGGCAAAAGGAAACAAAAAAAGACACACAAACAGAAAAACACAGGCAGGTTCTTGCAACATTCATTCCATTTGGTTAATTCCATTTGGATAGAGTCCAGCCTATACAAGGAAAGCAGGGGCTAGAAAAGTAAAACAATGTGGAAGGTCTGGGGAACCAGCCCATCTTTTCAAAGGCAACAGGGAATTTCTGAAGCAGGAGTGAGCAGAAGAGAAGAACAGATCAGAGCATTGTCTCGGGAAAAATTAACCTGTTCAGGATTCAGAGTCTTCCATAGTTCAGAAAAACTAGCAGCAACTGCACCTTAGGAGAGAACTAGAATAGACGGGGCAAAAGGCCTGACCTAGTTATCAGGCAGAGGCAGAAGTGAAGAGGCCCCTCATAAGACAGGACAAAGGGGCACCGTTTTGCAACCAGGCAAACCTGGAGGAGAGCAAGAAGTGGCAATTGTGTGAGATTTCAAAGGGCAAGACTGGGGAATGATAACATCACTATGTTAGTGAAAATGATGAATTCTTTGTGGGGTATTATATACCTCCATATAGAAATACATACCTTTATATATGCCTCTATACATGGAAATACATACCTCCGCCTATTCCTCTACACCAAATAACGGGATACAAGAGCATAGCTTAGAGATCAATTAGCCAGCCATTTACAGAAAGAATGTACCCCAAAGTTTTCTAGAATGGATGAGATGGTCAAGAAAGAGTAAACTGATACAGAAGGTCTAGGACAAAATCTGAGTTAGGGCAACTTTTAGGAAATGCAAAGAGGAAGAAGTAGAAAATATAACCAAAAAGCTAATAAAAATATAGAGCAATAACCAACAAAGCCAGATGTTTTAAAAAAAAAAATGGCGGGGGAGAGGGGAATAACTTCCAAAGACAGGTGCATGATCAGGGTTTGCACCCACTACTAAATAAGAATACAAATAGTGGCAAACTTGGGTGGGGCAAAGTTTGGGGCAAGCTGCAGGCAGGAAAAAGATAATCCAGAACAAGAGCCAGAACTGAAATAGGAGCACTTGTATCAAGTCCTGATGTAGGCAGGAGTTACTGCCACTTAAGTGAGAAGGAGGTACAGAAATCTCGACTTAAATGCCCCTGGGATGGCAGCATCTGTAACTTTCCTTCACAGCAAATATTCCAGCCGATGTAACTTGGAGCTGACTTGTCTCTCTAGCTCAGGAAGACAAGGAATGTTTAGCTGCATTCACCATTATAACCCCACTGGCTCCCACAGTACCTAGGAGATAAGAGGTACCTAATTTCCACTCCTTAAATAATGAGTTTGTTTTCATAAACAAACAGTGAGAGCACCAAGAAAAGCAGGGTCATTCGGGGAAACCATAGTAAAAACAAGTCAGCAAAGAATGGGAGAAAAAAAACCCATAAGACCCAGGAAACAAAGCTGGCAGGGATAAGCCAGACAGACAGCTGGTCAGGGAGTCAAAGCTTGCCTTTGGGTATCAAAGTACTGGAAGAAGCTGGAAAGATCCCAAGGATATATGACGCCAAGCAGACGAGCAAATAAGCAGCCTCCCCTTCTTAGCAACACCGTCTTAAGGGCCCTTCACCCTGGAGAGATCCTGGCACTCCTTCCTGACACACTGAAAGCACAAGCTACTTTCTAGTCCACACCAACTTCCAGAATGGGGGCCCCTGGTACACTGCCCAACTGCCCACTGGCTACCACCGAGGGTGTTTTACCATGGAAATAGCTGTGCATTCTGAAGAGCTGGGCTGGGGTCAGGAGGGACAGGCAGTAACAGTAATAGAATGAGGAGGAAAGCCCCAACTTGAAAGAGAGTAAATCTGAAGAAAGCACCTGCGTGAAAGAAATGGTGTCTTGAGACCCTTTATATTCCCCAAACCTAGCACAATGCAGAGCAGGTGAACACAGAACTTAAATAAATGAAGCCAGTCTGGGACAAAAACCACCAGGTTACAACTAATATAGCTAATGAGAAAGATGAGTAGCAGGGCCAGGACCAGGACCAGGGTGAGGCAAGCAATGCACCAAGGTGCAAATTTTATAAATCAAAGCCATGCACGCGCCAACCCCACAGCCTGCAGGACTCCAAGAGCGAGCGCCCCACACAAGGTGTGTGCCGTAGGCATCTCACTTGCCTTACCCTATAGTCTCGGCCCTGGTGAGTAGCAAGAGCAGATGAAATTTCTCCACCTGGCCGGTGAAGGAGACTCAAGGAGATAAATTCAAAAGAAAACTTTAAAGAGTGAAAAGGCTGAGCCTACTCAGAAGCTAGGAAGGGGCCCAGGGAAAGCAAGAGATGATAAAAACCAGTGAAAAAGGGCATAGTTGATAGACCAAAAAAAAAAGAGAGAGAGAGAGAGATGGAATTAAAATGAATCTCACTGAAATTAAGGAAATAAACAATTTACATTAGGAATCAATGGGAAAGACATGAAATAGTCAACAAGTAATGTTTAAACACTACTTAACACCATTTTTTAAAATTGCCAATAGATCCCTACTTCATAACATTCCGAAATAAAATTCAGTGTGAATAAAATTTAAATGTTTAAACCTGAGACAAGGAGACAGCGAGAGAGAGAAGGCAGGGGAGGGACGCCCAGACGGCTGGATGAGGAGTCGGACAAGTATTACCCCCAACAGTAAGGGTGGGCAAAATTACCAAACCCGGCCATTGAAGGGTCTGGATGTTGTCCAAAGACATACAACAAACGGAGAAGTGTTCATTCAAGAAAATCTACCGAGTCTCCATGAGATTAGTGGAAACGTGCGGTGGTTTAGGCCGGGGCTCCCGCCACCCCACATCCGTTCTCAGTTCCTTGATGTGCAAAGTCCTCACAGGACAGGACAAACTGTGAAGACCGGCAGCTCCACTGCCACAAGGAGTTAAATTTGCCAGGATCAGAACCAGAAGAATTCCATGCTCAGGGGCATTTCAAAAACAATAGTGATTCAAAGGGCAAAAAAGTCAGGCAAGGCCAACACTGCAGCTAGCACGGCAAGGCACTAGTTACGGCAGGCAGACCTACCAGGAGTTCAACCCGGGAGAGGCAGGGACTGAGGCGGCCCAGGTGGCCTTGATAAGGATCTCCTTTTTCCTGCTTTGCGACCACCCCAGACTCCACACCAGACTGTAACACACAGGAGAGAAAGGACAGGGCCCTGGAGGGCTCCTCATCCCTGGATGAGTGTGAGCCTTGCAAATACAAGAAGCCGGGGCAGACCCATAGCCCCTGACTGTGGACTGCATTCCCCAACTCTCACAAGAACCGCTGACAGAGGGTGGGGGCCTCACTGTTCCCAGGCGTTTAAACACAACATCTGACCAATCAGGCTGATCACTAGGATACAC